TTTCAGTCACATCTGAGTTTTCATCTACATTAATGGAGATTGGAGTAGCTTCTGTGATTAGTGATTCTATGCTATGAAATGCTGTTTATAGTCTGTGCAAAGTTTAGAGGTTTTGAAAGTCGTAATTAATTCTGTTACTGTAAAGTGATTTTGCTTGGTCTGAGGGTGAGTTTAACCTTTAAATTGGATGTTTATCTCTGCATAGGAGATTTCATATTCTTGTTTTTTTCTTCTGTGTCTTCATATACGATAGGTATGGGGAAACTTTTTTTGGGCTGGGGGCTACTGACCCACAGAAAAATCAGTCGGGGGCCACACACAAGTGAGAAGAAAAGTGAGAAGCCCTGACTGAGAAGGAAAAAGACACTCCCCACAAAAGACACTCCCCACATTCCCCTTGCACACCAGAGCTATGGGGGCTCAGGCTAGTAGATTTTGTATGTTCCAGTTCTGTGGGGGAGGGAGGAGAGGCTGGACCACCAGCATGGGCTCCCTAAATGCTGAGCCTCGGGGGGCAGATCCAGGCAAGCCAGGGGCTGCATCCAGCCCCTGAGCCTGAAGTTTCCTACCCCTAGTAACCATATCAGATTCAGCTGTAAGCTACCTCTTCATCCAGTTTTAGATTTACCTTTAAAAGCTTTTTTTTTATACTAAATTTTTAATTCCATTTGTTTAATAAACTTTATATCTAACCTGGTAATCATCTGTGTTCATGTTCATAATAATGCACCAGTTATTCGAGGAATTTAATAATGGGAACATTTTATCAGATGAAATTTCAGGTCTTTGAAATAAGGCTATAAGGGCCGTCATAAATAACATCCCCAAACCATTAATATATAATATTAATTGTGAAGTATATACAATTAAAAATTTATATAACCAATAGCCTTTAGTGAACTGTGTGTTACTGTGTTTTAAAAGAACCCCTTTATGAAAATGAAGTGAAGATTTGAAAGTGGTGCAAATAAGAGCCAGCAAAAGCAACAGAGTGAAGCAGCAGTTAGAAGTTTAAAGCAAGTAACATCATTTCTCTTAGAAAAGATGCCTCAGCCATTAGACGGTGACCATACTGACAGTGACAGTTCCAGTTCTGATGCTGAAAACTTTGTAATGCAGGCAGAAAATGAGAAGCTCAGAGATTCCGCACAGCAAGAGCAAGAACTTATGACTAGCACAGGATACAGTGTAATAACAGTGGCATCAGAACCTGATATTGGACTTCTTGATAAGAACAATGTTGCTCAAATGCAGTCATTTCTCAGAGGTAGCTGTTTTCAGATTCCAAGTAATATACTGAAAGATGCTGATAATTATGCTTTTCCCACTTGTCTGCTGACAAAAACTCTTCCAAATGGAGAGATCTACACAAGAGACTGGCTCTGCTGGAGCACAGAAAAGCAGGCTCTGTTACTGTGTACCCTGTTTAATTTTTAACAATAATACTTCAAATGCATCAGTACTGTCTGATACATCTAGTTGGAGAATCAGTAGAGGTTGGAGTAAGTTGAAAGACTGAATACCTGCACATGAAACTTCAGTATTGCATAAAGAGAACTATGTTACATGGAGACCATCTAGTAGAGCAGCACTAACTGACAGTTCAATTGAAAACTTACTCCAGAGTGAAATAAACACAGAAACTGATAACTGGAAATAATGTCATTATTTTTCTTTCTGAACTGAGATTGGCTTTGCGTGGTTCCAGTCAACATATCGGTGACTCTATATATGTGTAAGTGGGGGAATGGTCCCACTATTGTGAGGAACTTTCCTGGCTTCTATATTACCCCGGTGAAATGGACCAGCGAAAGGATCTGAGTCCCTGCTCCCACTTCTTTTACCCAAAGACCTCCCTGACACTGAGGGCTCCCCTTCCACTCTCCTGAGTAGCAGAGTCCTCGAAATCCCAACAAGGCTGGGCCCAGGTTTTCTTGGGCTTACTCCCCAACCTTGTAGTTACTTAGGGCAGGGGCTAGGGTGTCCCCACTCCAGGGTGCTCTCTTCACACTGGATGCTTTCTTGACCCAGTGATCACTACATACAGTTCAAAGCAAATACAATTTATTAAACAGCAACTGATTAAAAAGAAAAGAATAAGGAAAAAAATGAGAGAGGTTAAAAGAGAACACATAACCCTGCTCTGTAGCACAGGGACATCACAAACAGCAGTCTGCAGAGTATAAGGACAGTTCATAGTCTGTTTCTTATAGGTCTCAGGCCCTGGCTGTGCTGCAGGGGGCTGCAGGTTGGACATGCTTGCTCTGGCAGTGACCACACAGCCTCAGGCTCTAGGTGGCAGGACCCCTCTCCCAGTTGGAGTTACAATCCCTCTCCAAGTCTGGCCTGCAGGGCTCTTGGCTGGGGGTATCTCCCTGCCCAGAGCCTCTTTTCCCCCCCTTTGCTGGTCCCAGCTGCTCACCACACCCAGCTGCAGACTATGTTGCTTTGCCAGCCTCCAGCTCCTTGCTTGCTCCTCTGACCCCTTTGGCTCTGGTCACTCTAGGTCTGCCTCTGAGCGCAGCTTGCACTCCTTGGGCTGTGTGTGTCTGGCTCTGGCACTGCAGGTCTGTTTCTTAGCACACAGTCTGCGCTCTGTGGGCTGAATGGGCCTCTGGCTCTGTCCCTGCAGGTCTGCTCCTCAGTACAGCCTGGACCCCTTGCTACTCTTCTTAGCGCTCTCCCACTTTGACTCAAACCCAGAAAATCCCAGCACACCTGGGAAAATCCCAGGATGGGACCTGGCCTCCTAATTCCCCCATTAGCCTGTCCAACCTGACAATCAGTCTGAGCTGGAGTGTTGGTTTCTTTCTATTGTCCCTGTGGTCTGTCAGTCTCAGGACCCTGATTTCTCATGGACCCTTCCCCTTTTAGTATTGGGAGCTGGCCAACCAAAAACTCCCACTGAGTTTAGTAAGGGGCTCACAATCCCCTTACATATAGAAACTTTCTTGGTATACTTGAGCTTCTTGGCAAGTTGATCCACTTTTATCAGGACATATTAAGCGTATTTGTGAACCACAAGAGAGCAGAAAACACATGCAAGTCCGTTTTCTGTCTACCAGAATACAATTGAGCTGTGTGGGACATGTGTGCAAACAACAATCCTTGAATAGATACGACATGCAAAGTGCTTTTCAATTATTATTGATGCAACTCCAGACTGTTCTCATATAGAACAGATGACGTTGGTGGTTCAATATGTTAAAATTGCAGGAAGTTCAAATCGCAGCCTAACATCTTAATCTGATGCAGAAAGGCACTGTCAAGTCAATTTTGTTGTTGATATTATTGACTCCATCAAATCTGGTCTTATACATCGATTTGAGTCACTATGACAAATTTGTACGCTTTTTTAATTCCTTTGGAAGTTCAGAGAACTAAGTGATAAAGATCTACATTCAGGGGCGGCCAGTCCATATAGGTGAACAAGGCGGTCGCCTAGGGCGCCAAGCTAAATGGGGCACCAAATGGTGGCACAATATCATTGAGGGGTTTGGAGGTGGGGGCACCAATTGCATGGTTCACCTAGGGCGCCAGTTACTGGTAGCTAGTCTAGGGCTGCTCCTGTCTACATTCAGTGGCTGAACAGTTTCAACAAAGGTACAACAATGAAATGTCAAGAGACCTCTGTGACAAGATTGTCTTCCTGAAATGTATTCATTCCACTTTCAACAAAGGTACAACAATGAAATGTCAAGAGACCTCTGTGACAAGATTGTCTTCCTGAAATGTATTCATTCCACCAACTTTAAATCTGACTGCAAGCCAAAAGAACTGCTTCAAGAAATATTTGATTTTGGCCCGTTGACTGTATTTCCTAATATCACAATTGCATTGCATTTTTTTGTCAGTCTCCCTGCATCAGTGGCTTCGGTGAATCAGATTCAATGTGTTAAAACAAGTAAAGAATAATCATCATTCTACAATGGGACAAGAGTGTTTGAATAGGTTTGAATAATGCTTAACATGAACAGTGAGGTTGCTTCAATTATAAACGAGTTAGCAACAACAAAGCCAGAAAAGCATTCCTAAAATGAAGAGTTTTGCTTGCAGTGGAAACTCACAATTAAAGTTACACTTTTAATATACATGCTATTGGTATAATGACTTAATTATTAATAAATAAATGTCTCAAGTGTCTGTTTTCATATAATCTTTTGGTTTTAGTATGACCCTGCAGATGAGACATTAGATATAATATCAGGGATCTGGAGCTGGGCTGGGCTGGGGCCTCTAAATTCAAAGTGGTCTCTGTCATTCTCTGAGAGGGCCTGTACATTACTAGCAGAAACCACTCAACTGATTGCATTAGGCAGATAGACATTTTGGGCCTAGTCCTGAAAACACACTATATTTGGAAGTCCCATTATTTATTATTCAATAGATGTGATGGGTGGACCTATCAAATGCACCATGAACCTGATCCAAAACCCACTGAAACCAATGGCAGTTACTCCACTGACTTCAAAGGTTTTGGATAAGGTCCCTTATCATGTTGCTTTTCAGCTTTAACGTGTTTGGAGGAAAGGGAGGAAAGAAGGACAGATAGGAAACCAAAACACATTAAAAATATAGGAGGAATCCTAATGCATGGTACATAAAAAGTATAAATAAATGCCAATTGATTTTCTCAAGTTCAATTTTTTGTTACAAATATAAATATGTGACTTGAGACATCTTAATATTTTTACGTAACTCACTCATTCAGCTTTGCCAATGGGCTGAATCATCAGTCTTTAAAAGAGATAGACTGTAGATGAATATAGCATCTCCTTCACAAAGACCTGCTCCTGAGAACCACTGAATATTTATGCACAAGTGTCAAATTGAGTTTAATACCATGCTGCTGCTGAGAGTTTGCGGTCAAATTTTATCTCCTTTGACTGATCTACAAGTTACAATTGAATCATGCAAAATACTTTTGCACATGAAGCATTTATCAGGGCTGGGGTTAAATGCTGCTGTATTAATAACTCAAATCATAAAGCTTAACTGACCTTTAATCACATTGGTGTCCACTAATGTAGCTGTCGCAGTCATGTCATCCTCATTCTCTCGTTGCACTAAATCATTTTGACAACTAACTTGTAATTCAGCTTGATCTGAGCAGAGTTTCTTTGTGGTGTCTACACAGAAATTCTGAAATTACATAGAACAATGTGATTGATTTCTTGTATACACGGTTAGTCCAAATTGGATGCTTTTCACAAAAGTGACAAGGAAGAGTAGCAGTAATATTTTAGGTCATTTCTGTGGATCTGGAAAATGAATTTACTGTTTGTCAAAGTAAGATACAAATAACATTTACTACAATGCTAGCCTTAGAGGCATGTATACCACATAGTAACATGACCAGAATAAGATGATATTCTAGGTACAGAAAATTACATTTAAGATACATTTCATAGCCTCTCTCTCTTGTGTGCATGTGTGAGAAAGATTTCCTTATCTATTCCTGTTTAAAAATCTTTTTAAATCATTGTTCTCACTGTACTGTTAATTAATTCAGTGATTTCTATTATACAGTACATGCCCAATTTTATATATACACACATATGTATGTGCATCTGGCATTTCAGTTATACATAGTTATACTTTATAAAATAGTCAGTGTGGCTAGGCAATAGTTACATGCAATTATATTGTAAATATATTGCAGTTATGGTTTCATAGACTCATAGAACACTAGAACTGGAAGGAACCTTGAGAGGTCATCAGATCCCATCCCATGCCCTCATGGTCTGTCTAAACTCCCTTAGCAATTTACTCCAGTGTATAATCACCCTGACTATATGGAAGTTTTTCCCTAATGTCCAACCTAAACCTCCCTTGCTCCAATTTAAGCCCATTGCTTCTTGTCCTATCATTGGAAGTTAAGGAGAATAATTTTTCTCCCTCATCCTTATAATAGCTTTTTAGGAATTTGAAAGCTGTTATCATATCCACTCTGTCTTTTTTCCAGACCAACCAAACCACATTCTTTCAGACTAGTCCTTTAATCATTGTTGATCTTCTCTGGACCTTCTCCAAATTTTTCCTGAAATGTGGCACCCAGAACTGGACACAATACTCCAGCTGAGGCCTAATCAGCACAGAGTATACAAGAAAAATTACTTCTTGGCTATGTCTACATTGCGTTCTCTTGCGCAAGAACATATGCAAATGAGGCGCAGCAATGAATATTGCCACAACTCATTTACATACTTAATGAGATACCATTTTACACAAAAAAACCCCTTCTTGCACAAGAGTTGTTCTGCTGCTTATTTTCAGGCAGAACAGATCTTGCGCAAGAGGGGTTTTTTGCACAAAAATGGTGGCTCATTAAGTATGCAAATGAGGCCCGGTGATATTCATCACCACACCTCATTTGCATATGTTCTTGCGCAAGAGAGCACAATGTAGACGTAGCCCTTGTGTCTTGCTCACAACACTCCTATTAATACTTTCCAGAATGTTTGCTTTTTTTGCAACAGTGTCACACTGTTGTCTCATATTAAGCTTGTGGTCCACTATGACACCTAGGACTGCTTTGTGCAGTACTCCTTTCTTAGACAGTCATTTCACATTTTGCATGTATGCAACTGACTTCCTAAGTGGATTAGTTTCCATTTATCCTTATTTAATGTCATCCTTTTATCTCAGACCACTTCTCCAGTTTGTCCAGATAATTTTGAATTATAATCCTATCCTTGAAAGCACTTGCAATCCCTCCCATCTTGGTATCATCTGTAAATTTAGTATGCATACCCTGTATGTAATTATGTAAATTGTTGATGAATATATTGAACAGAACCGGTCCCAAAACTGATCCCTGTGCACTCCACTCAGAATTCCACTTATTATGCCCTTCCAGCATGACTGTGAATCATTGATAAGTACTCTCTAGGAACAGTTTTTCAACCAGTTTTACAACCATCTTATAGTAGCCCTGTATTTACCTAGTTTATTTATAAGAAGGTTAAGTGAAACTGTATCAAATGCTTTACTAAAGCACATCCAGTCATATTTACATTCAGCTTTGTACCATACAGATAAAATTAATCCTGACTGAAACAACAATGAAAACATTGTAATATCAAAGCAACTAATGAGAGGTAAAAAAAAAACAATTAACACTTTATTGGGTTTTCTTATATTTGTATTTTCTGAAATAAACATAAGAAGATAGATCAGCAGGGGTTCATTTCATCACAAACTTCTGTACAACATTGCATAGTAGAAGTGTGTAGTACAGTTCATGATAAATGAAAGAACCTATGATATCAAGCAAAGCTTAAAGCAGTGTTTCACAAGGACCTCAGGGATTTGGGGAAAGAGAAATATAGCTGAACATATTAGAAAGAGAACAGAATTGTCAGAAGAAATTCTTAGAGCAGCAAAGAAAAAAAAGGAAAATGTACTGTTTGAACTGAGCCATATTCTTTGTTAGGGGATAGTGGCATAGTTCCAGTGAAGTTACCAAAGCTCTGACATTTTGCATTGACAAAAAATGGGGCCCTTCTTTGCAAATAAGATGTCTTCTTCCCCATCTGTGTTGTAGCATGCTACACGTATCATCAACTTGAGACCACTCTGTCCTGACCATATCTTTAAAAGTTTTAAGAAATATCCAAATTTTAGCCAGGAAAAAAATTAACACATTTCAAAACACAAATGTACAAACCTTTCAGTAAAATTGTCACAGCTTCCCTAAAAAATGGGGCATTTGCATAGTTCACATTAGAGGTGAATTATAAAGAAAAAAATTAAGTGGAAATCAATTTATATACAAATTGCCACAGATTGTTTATTTAAATTATAACTAATCTTTTCTTCGGTATTTACAAAAGTATGAAAATGTTGAGAACATATTAAATAACTAATCAGAAAAATAATAAAATATTTTTAAAATATTTGTGTTATTCTTTTCTATTTAGATTTCCTTTTTTTCATATATTAATCCTAGTAATTAACACCCTGTTGTACAGTCATAGTCTTTATTTTGTGTTGTCCAAAATAACCTAAAAACAAGTTTTCATATTAAAAACAGCAACATGGGGAAATCCCACAGTCCTGAAGCATCTGATTAAAACTTGTGATAATCTTATCATTCAGTCTACTTTACCACTTTTTTTTATTGTCACTTCTTTGCAATGGTTCCCCAAGGCACTTTACAAATAAATTAAAATGGACAGAGCTCAGACATTTTAAAATAAACCAAGTTACACCAATTAGATTTTCACTTCAGTTTAGTTTGAAATCTGTAACACGCTAGTATCCCTAATTGAAATTCACACATTGAGTAGATTTAAGGAATACTAAATAATAAGCATCCAGGGTCAAATCTTTACTTTTTCACAGTTTTACTCAGACATGTCTGAAGAAGAATTCCAATTGGGTGAACTCTTGGTTCTACTGAAGTCAATGGCAGCTTTGCGATTAGACATCAATGGAGCCAGGAATTGCTAGTTGTTTCGAATGAGTGTTCTGCCACAGGAAAAATGTTAAAATCTTCAGAATTTGGACCATGGCAATGTGTTAAAAAGGATCAAAGACCAGTAAATGGAGAGAATTTCATATCTGACCTCACAACAACTAAAAGCTTGTGACCGGAAAATGTTACTGCAGTAATTACGAATTTCTGGAAAAAACGCTACAACTCCTCAACCTTTAGAAAGACATAAAGGTAAGGTAGCTCAGAATACGTACTACTGCAGAAAGGAAGATGTATTATATTAAACAAAATATAAAATGTTTTTGGGGGCTAATGCAGATAAAAATAACGGGGTTGCATCATTTAGTATGAACTGAGGCTGTCCCATTTTTCAGAATTTGTAAATCAGCACAGAGCTTATCTGGAATGCATGAAATACAAGACACTGAAATAATAATGGAGGCTAAAAGTGACCAAAGCATATTTTACTTAACAGTTGCAAACTGAGTTTAGCACAGTTTGTAAGCTCGTGCACACACATCTACCCTGAACCCAGTCCAGCAACATCTGGAAATATATACTATTCTACTGAACAGTATTGTATAAATAGTCATCAGTAATATTCAGTATGCTTTGTCTTTAATTCAAGATGCCCACTATGCTTTAAAAGCAGTAATGAATCAAATATCTCGGTATCCCTGTGATGTGGGCATATATTACGACCTCTATCTTACAGCTGGGGAGACTACAGCATTTAGTTACTGTCACACAGGAAGTGTGTGTCAGAACTGAGAAAAAAAGCCAAGATTTCATCTCTCTAGCCTGTGCTTTGACCACAGGACTACCTTTCCTCTCCTATTTTAGTAATTTCCACCCAAAGCTGTCATCAGCTGAGAAGAGCAGTAATATTATGCTAAGATTAGGACCCTTAGACTCTTCTAAAAGAAGCCTCACAAAAACTATTGAAGACACTTGAGAGTTCTCATGCACTTGAGACAGCATAGTTCTTCACTGGAACCTGTAGCTACATTTATACATGACACCTGAAAAATAGCTCTACAGATAACCCAAATGTTTTTATGTTGAAAGACAAAGTGAGAGAGACAGTTCCAAAAATACTAACTGTGACCCCTGAAACAAGTACCAAAAAAAAAAGTGACTGCAATAAATAGAGGACATTCTCTAAACAAGTGTGATAAGAATTCTATAATTTGATGCATTGCAATGTTTGTGAAAAATTCTATTAAGCTATTGTTTTTATTATTTATGGATGTGTTCATTTATGTTTAAGTCTCAACAATGTTAAGAAGGCTCAGAATAAAAATGAGAAAACCTTTGACACCGTGTCATTTTTTAAAAAGTACATAAAAATGTGGGAGTAAAATATGAAACCAACAACTGTCATGCTTTCTGAAAATGTTGAGAGAGATGTAGTGGTGTAGAACATTTGATAAAACTACGTTTCCAGAAAGAAAGTAAAGCTGTTATGTGATTACAAATGACTGTATTGCAGAGGAAGACCTATTTATTGGAGCAATCACTGCTGGACATGGCACTACACCTTTGGAGTACATTTATTATGAGTCAGACATGCTATAAGATATAGATCATAAACCTTTTACTGCAATCTTTAAAGACTTGGAGTGACACTTTATGCGGTCCTCAGAAACTCATGCTAAAACTATAGAGATATTTCTTACCTTTGGCATATACAGTACTATAT